ATTCACTGCGCTGAAATCATTATGCACACAATATAATCTACACTGCTGTTAATATTGATATTAGATGCAAAGTCTGCATCAATATGTGGGAAGTTTTTTTAGGAAACTGTAGACATTACGGTATAAGCTGGTGGTTGGAGGTAGTCGACAGAAAACACTAGACCTATGTTTCGTGCTATTTATCACTCAACAGCAATCTTGGTCAGTTTCGGTCCAAATAACCCCGTCTCTGACTGTGAAGCTGGGTGACACGAGATCGAAGTCCGTCAGGGTGCATCGGTTCCCTCAAAATTACAGGTATACCTTGCTAATGAGTGTCAAATAGCAAGGAACCTAGGTCCAGGGTTTATTATTGGCCACATCCAGCCACCACCTTACATCTCAACATGGTGCACGCGATGTCGATTCAACTAGACCAGTGGCCACATTGCAACTTGATTGATACAATCTCAAAGACAATTGAATTAAAGCACGTACAACTATTCATCTTCACGCCGAAAATAAATTAATTTTCAATGCTTAAATTTCATTCAGGAATAAAAATTTGTAACTCTGACTTTTTGTTTAGCATTCTTCCTTCCTTACTTCTTTGATTCAATTAAAGAAAAGGTTTATCATTATACTTTTTTATTGCATTATTACGTAATCGATCTAAATAAAGTACATACGAACTACTCATGATATGTTTCATGAATTGAAGATTAACACTACTGCATCCGACATTTGATACTCATTTTTAATGTAAATATTCACTCAAATAACTAGCTACCTGAATGTATACAGAATTTTATTTAGTACAATTAGTGAACAATCGTATGTTGAGGATTGATAAGCTGACAGAAATGACATTCATATATGATGAGCACACAAAGAACTAAACAGATAAACAGGGGTAGTCAATATTGGGCGATTTCATCATTTAGAAAGAAGGGTGTGTATCAGTGATCTGACTGATTCAAAACAAGAACGAACGTTGGACCATCAGTAATGTTTGTTGAATCTCCTTAGTTTTGATGGATTTTTATTGTAATTGAATAATTTGTGTGGAAATAATAAAAGTCAGATGTTTCATGTACTGAATAAACGAGATCAGCTTAATCGATAAATAGAATGTACTAGTAAATTTGATACTGCTAATTCTTGACTATAGACTAATTTTTGAGAACTAGCTAATTAATTTGATTGTAATGCTAAGTTACTTAATTAAAAATCAATTTGTATAGCAAGAGAAGCGTTTCTCAGTTGCAGTGTTATCATCTTTGACTGTACGTTTCAGTCACATGATCGTGAGGTCTATTCAACCATGTAAGTTGTAACCATAGTTACATTTAAAATAGATAAATGGTAATAAGAATTCTAGTGTGAACAGATGTAGTCACAATCATTGTTATAGAAATATATTGTTAAGTATCTTTACCGAAATGTACGGAATACTGCGGAAAATTAACTATAAGAGTATAAGTTATGTCAAAGAAACAATTTATAATTTACTTTTAGACATTTAGTGAGTGTACACATATGTACGTTGTTCCAATTTGTAGCAATTTACATAACAAAAATTAAAAGTCCATCTAGTTAATAATGGTAATATTCATGTTGGTGGAAGCGGATATAAAGAACATACATCCAACAGTAGGAATGAAAAGTGTGAAAAGTATGTAAACTTCTCATGTTTTAGGGGAAGAAAAGAAAAGGATTCATCTACAATGCTGCAATAGATCTTGACCTTAGTAAACTAGGTTATCCAACTATATAACATAAAAACTGTAAAAGCCTAGAATCTATTCTGAACATTTTGTGAAAGATATATTAATTCTATAACGAAATGAATCAGTTATATACATTTTTGTAAAGAATAAATTTATCACTTAAAATACTTGAGAATACGATAAGTGACTAATAAGTTTATGAACAGAATATATAGCTTCAAGGGGTATTTCCTGGAGTTCTAGTGAGAAGCAGTGACCAGTGGAGCTTTTGGCTCAACTGGTTTCGTCCTTCGTCTGCAGCGTTCTGGTGCGCCCTACGAACCATCTTCAGATTCTGGATACAAACCACTCTCGTGTAGCATGCCAACTCAAACAATAAATACAACACATCGCTCCTGGTACCGTTCTCCGAAAACGACCTACGTTGGCAACTCGACGATCAACGATCGCTTTCCTGTTCGCCAATTCTTCCGTCCTACAATCGCTCGTTAGCCGATCAGTCCCACGATTAAACCGCTATTTATCGAAAGTGTAAACCCTTTCTAGCGGGGGGCTCCTGTAGTGACTCACATTTATCACGAAAACACGACTGGTTTAATAAAAACAATTATTATTATAACCAACTGTACCAGTGCTTGTTTTAATGTGCTTTTGTTTGACTGTGCTAATGACAGCTTTATTTTGCTTCCATTCTTCTACACACACTTCGATTGTAACTTCGCGCGAATTCGGTTACGTTCTGTAACCAAGCTTGTATCCTGGCACGATCTCGGTATCCTTTCGATGCCACGAGATCGCCAGCGAATACATCTCGATTCGGTCCATTAACTGTCTTCTGATATTTGGCTTCTCGGGGATTTGCTGGATTTATTTGTTACGTTCAACCTTCGCCTTCTGATTTATTTGGCACGTGTTTCTTGGTAGCGGTGTTCATAGTCAATTTCGACTCGACACCACGCTACAAGTTAAACAGGGTCTGTTGTGAGAGTAACTCACTCAATACAATGGTGGATGTGTCTCTCAATTTCGTGGATTAGTTGGAGTTAGACATTAACACCGTTGGATGCCAGCCGGCCCAGTGGTCTAGAGGTTAAGCGTTCGCGCGCGAGACTGATATGTCCGGGTTCGAGTCTCATGAGGCGGATCATGGACGAGCACGGCTGAGGAGTCCTAAAATGGGACAAAACGGCCGTCCAGTGCTTCCAGGTTTTCCACGATGGGCTAGCTTCAATTGACTCATGATGTCAATTATTGAATATAAAATATAAAACAATGAACATGTCAGTTTTAAAACCTGGAAGCATGAAATTTATTCGTTTTCTCCCTCTCTTTTTTAGAACTACTTAAAAGGTTGATAAATGTAACAGAAATCCCAACCAAAATACTAGTACATTGTAGCAGTTAATACATTCCACAACAAGAAGCTATTGGTCTGAATAATGTGAAGAACTCCATAAAGACCATGTTGGTTTAAAAGGATTAGTCTAAATGTAACTGTATGACCTAGTACCTGTAAAATTCGATATTTCTCATTGTTTTCTCTCTTCAATAAATAATGTATGGCTAATAAACTTATTCATAACAATTAGACCAATTTCTCCTCAAAATTCCATTAAGAAGTAAACTGATTTTGTTATCTTTCTCCATCATTAGAGTTTGTTCATTTATACAGAATTTTGGAACAACATACTGGAACCTTGATATTCACTCCATGATATTTTTGATGTCTGCTTAACATATGCGATTGTCAGAAAAAACGTCCAATTTTGTTAAGTCAATTTAAAATATACAACTTTAAACTAAGTAGTCAAATGGTTTCTTCATGTGAAGACATATATCTGATCATAACGTTCTACAAGGTAGCCTTTGTTTAGGTTATATGTGAAGTACTTAGAAGTACATTACACAGTCAGCAACAAGCAATCAGTATTTAGGAGTATTTTTAGTAATGGGATTGGGTGTTTTTACTTTAACGAGAACTATGAGGGGAAAATTAAGACGTAGCCAAAGAGATAGCATTTGACATGATCTAATCCTTAATCAGATGAATGTTTGATTTACTTGACAGTTGTCTATTTTATGCTTTAGTTTTCAAGGTTTTCCAACCATTAATTAAAGACATAACAGATAAGTGTAAATTTCTATCTCAACCAGTGAAAGAATGAATTCCAACCATTTAATCTGTACTGCTTAGTGTTATCTATTAAAATGTCATTGTCGGAATACTTGATTTGAAACTTCTCTTAAGAGGATATCATTGCCTCTGTGTTGATGTTAATAGGGGTTTAGATTGAATTCAGAGGAGTAAGCAGGTGAAACGGTTTGATTAGATATTATACAAGACTAAATTTACGGAAGAAATCGATATCTTCCCAAGTAAACAATTCAGGGTAGACCCGTTGACATCACGTTGTCTGCAAATTGTTTATTTGAAACAATGATACGACGATAAAGTGACTTTTTTTTCAGAAAATTGAGGACTCGTAAGTGTATTTCTCAACTTTCTATTTTTACTTACCATTTTTGAAGAGGATAGAAATCAGATGAAGTCCAATCTATTTTTGACCACGCTTCTTATGATTATCCATTATAACCACAGTGACTAATGTGACAGTTCTTATGTACCATGTGACCAATGGATTACAGATGTGCATCACACCACAAACTACAATCTAAATGTGTTCCGAACTAAATGACATACGCCCATGCTGAAATCAAAACAACAAGTCATGATCGAGCTGTCAATAGGTAAATAACTGGTGCTCGAGCCACAATGATAGGCGAAGCATTAAAATTATTCAATTTAAATCGTCTAGACATCCACGTACATCATCTACCCATGTCTTTAAATCTAGACGAATCTCTACTTAAGATCACAGTATTGTTGAGATACATGTCCTGTGCTTCTAATCTGAATATACATCCACGAATTAGCCAGGACTCACGTAGGAAACACACGAGGCCCATATTCTGTCACTATGCCATGTTCAAACGATGAACACAGTTGATAGTCAAATTTCACATTTATATTGTTACACTGGACACAACGTGGCCAAGTCAAGCCATAAATTCGTCAGACTAATCACTTATGTTGTTAATATTTTAAATTGCATTTAAAAAATATATAACTCATCGATTTTTCTTTAAACCAATCAGCTATCAGTCCAAGTGTGTTAGTCATTAAAATCACTTCAGACTTTCTCTGTAATCCATCTGATTGGCTTAATTTCCCAATGTCTGTTTGTCTAACCATCAATAGCTTTCGTTGTGTATCATGATGAGGGGAATGCCATTCAATCAGGGATGATATATTACGATGGTTGAATCGGAAGCCGGTTGCGCTGCTTCTGCGGCTCCTGATCTTGGGAAAATTAAACCAAGGCATTATCGACAAGTTTCAGATGTGACCATACCAATCCATACAGATAGCACATATTCGACTACCAGCAAATCTACCATGCCGTTTTGTCGCCGATGGTGTTTGTGTTGCAGGCAAACAATGTGGTCAAATAAATTTTGGATGGTATTCACGGCATCCACTTGGGGTTTCTTATCTAATGTTGAACGTGCTGTGATATTACCTACGCTCTGGCTATATCTTAAAGAATACTGGGGAGCAGATGTCGCTAATACTCATTATGGAACTACCGTTGCGGCGTTCAGTTTGTCTATTCTTATTATGACCCCTATATACGGTCTTGCTTCCTATTCTGGTGTTCGCGTAAAGACACTTCTAATGATCGCAAATCTTCTGGAAATCATTGGGAATCTTATTTACTTGTTTGCTCCGGTCCCTTCAGCAGTTATTTTGGGCAGGCTGATTTCTGGAATTGGAGCTAGCTGTGAACCTCCGCTTTACGCGGACATTGTAAGAGCTACAAATCGAGATGAACGTACCACATACATTATTGTATTACTACTTACGCGTCAAATTGGTCTCATTTTGGTCCTTCGTTTACATTGATGATGGCTAAAATGGATTATCGTGTGGCGAACTTTGCACTCAATGTCTACAATGGGCCTGGGCTTCTAATGGCAATATTATGGCTTTTACACTCATTTGTTATATTATTCTCATATCCAAATGTTGATAAAAATGGCAGAGTTATTTACAATAATGGTCAACGGTCCTGTTGCGACCGTGAGAATTGGATACAGCCTAATGAACAACCGAAGGAGGATTCTCGACCAATGCTTAGTGACTCTACTGATTCGCTAAACTCTGGTCGGTTTAGTACTACTGTTATAAACAGTTCTTTACGACATTACCTATCGTTTAATATAATTGCTCTTTACTGTGTCAATTTCGCAGCATACTTCAGTTTTATGAGCTTAGAAGCAGCATTACCACCAGTAGCTAACCGTATATTTCAATGGACTGAAGTGGAAACGAGCTATGTATATCTTGCTGCAAGCATTTTGATTATCTTCGTGGTAATATTGCTACGTATTCTTAATCAATTTTATACGGATCGTGTCTTACTATTAGCAGGTCTTGTTACTATGGTGATTTCTTACTTTTGGTTGACTGTAACAGTTTATTTACTTCCTGAAATTCCTGTGCGAATGGGTATTCCTTTGACGCTCGCAGGTATTGCAATACATGTACTTGGAATACCTTTCACATATGCTTATTCAGAATCCTTGTACACAAAACTTGCTCCAGTTTCTGATATGGATCGAGCACAGTCTATTTTCCGTACTGTTATAAACGTAGCCTTCTTAGTTGGACCCTATGTTGGAGGTTCTTTAATTGGATATCCAACTTTAGTGTTCCTGTCTATGTTTCTATTGTCAAGTTTCCCTACATTGCTCGTTGCTTGTCGATTCAAAGATTTCATTGTTAATGATAGACCTAGTTCACCAAGTGAATTGGAGATAGCAAAAGAAAGCTAGTAGCTTATATATAAGCGATCTAATCATATGTCTTTCGTCTTCATTGCACAAATTACTGTAAAAAATGATTCCTAATCACAATAATGGACTTAATGTTCACCGTTATGAATCAAAGGGACATTGGTCGTTTTAATAATTTATTCTTAAGGTTTGTTTTACAGACTACTGTCTTTGTAAATTAATTATTTACTAATATGAATCACATATTTTTAACTATAGTTTTGTGTTTTCATTGATTTTTAAATTAAAAGTTGGTATGCAGAATGGGTGCCGTTTTCCGTCTAATTTGGATAGGTTGGTTCATGTTTATTTAAGCTGTTCCAGTACTTACCGCGGTTACATGGTTTAACATAACTCTGTTGATGATTAGAAATTTTGTAGATTTGAGCAGTAAATCTTAGTAGTTTATGTAGACTAAAATCGTTTTTTCACCAGCAAATAATTCGTGCTTTTTTTATTATCTATTTCTACTGATCGGACCATTTTTCAGCATTTAATCCTCAATGAAAGTCCGAATGAGCATACTTATGTATTTCGTGTGTAGTAAGTTAGTACTATGCACATCCTATGAATGGGTAGTCTCAATCCTTAAAATTATAGGTTCACGCAGTTATTATCTCAGTAGTTGCTTACCACACAGTCTTTTACGTAGCAAAAACGACGGTGATTAGGCGTGTGTTCTTTCAGTTTTTAGATACAAGCATATGACGCCCAACCCACTGGCTACTCTGTGAAAACTAGTAATCAACAGAAACAGTTTATTGATTTCAAGATTTCCCGTTGTACCCTGTTAATTGTTATTACGTTGTAAAAAGTGGGGGAGGATGTATCTGTCGCAAACTTATTTTTTAGATCCTTTGTATCACGACTAAGTTATTCTTCATCTACTACGGAATTAGGTATACAATTAAGATTCTTATGGCTGAATAACGGTTTTGCTCTTTAGTCAAATGTTTGAATTCCCTCATAAATGTCCTAGTCACCTTTCACGTAAGGTCTCTGTCTGTATACACCTAATTGTCTTGAGTCGCACTAGTGTTGTAGAATGGATAGTTGACACGTTCCTGTCTATGCAGATGATCCTCCTATCAGCATTCATAATGGTTTCAGTCAGTCAGTCAGCTACAACGTAGGACCAGGCACATGTATGCATCGGCCCAGGTTGCCATACCTCATTAGCACAGCAAGATGAACACCGGATTCATAGGAGTGGTTAGGTCAAAGGTGGTAATATATAGGAGAAAGATTGCAATAAGGATATAGTATAGGAAGAAAGAATTAGTTCGTAGAAAGAAAGATGTGAAGTGATCTTAATCTCTTAGTTTAAGAGAAGACAGAGAGTGTATACACCGACGCCATTGTGATCGATTCTGAGCCATGTCACCAAGGGTCTCCAACCATTGGTTACGAAAGTCACGCGGACCCCAACCAAGTAGTCTGCATCTACCAACATGGCTCAGACTAGAAGTTAGTGACTTCAGGCACTGATGCCACGTTTTGGTTTGGCCGCCCCTAACTTTCTTCCAACCATCCCCTGGACCGGTTAGCATTGCACGTCGCGGTAATCGGTGTTCAGGCATACGTAATACGTGGCCCAACCATCTCAGTCGATGAAGATTCATAACCTCATCAACTGATTTACCATCATTCCCTAATACCCTGCGTCTAACCTCACTATTACTTACCCGGTGATCCCAGCAGATGCCAGCAATATTTCTAAGGCATCTGTGGTCAAATACTAGTAGCTTACGGGTGTCTTCTACTCTTAAAGGCCATGTTTCGCTGTCGTAAAGTAAGACAGAACGGACTGCCGCGCAGTATACTCGTCCTTTTATTGATAGACGGATATCTCGCCTCCGCCACAGGTGACGTAAGTTGGCAAAAGCCAAACGAGCTTTACGAATCCGTGCTGAGATTTCGTCAGACACCAACCCATTAGGGCTGATCAGACTTCCAAGATAAGTGAAGTTGTCAACTCGTTCGACTACTTCACTCCCTATCCTTAGTTTAGGTGTTGACGCAGACCAGTCCTGAAGCAACAACTTGCATTTAGAGGGAGAGAAGCGCATCCCAAACATTCTGGCATTGTTGCTTAGTGCTACCAGAAGACTCTGCATTTTGTCAGCGTCTTCACCGTCTTCATAATGGTTTATAAACCGTGGATCCAATAGAATGGGGATGGGCCAGTCATCAATCCAGGTATCACTATGACTTGAGATATTTGGTTGTTACCGCGATGGAAGCGTGCTGTCGAATGTCACCAACTGCGTGTTCGGTGTCATGTTACCGTTTATACACTGGGTTGAGTAATATTCGCGTGGATTAGGTCAATACTTTTATACCAAAAATATGGGTCGAGATAAATACGCTTGTGTTTTGGAATCTGAAGTGAATTTTAGTCATCCTTCCACTTTCTACGGACCTGCCTGAAGTTCTCTGTTTGGGTCACAGCGTAACGCTGGCGACGTAGCACTGGATATAGTTATTTAGCTTCTCGGAATGCCACGTGTTCTTGTATGGGATCATCATCCCATGGCTCTGGATGACTCCCCTATTTCGTATGCAGTTAAATGTTTGACGGTTGTGGGAATTTAGGAGTTGCATTAAAACTAGAAGAAATCTCGGTTAACCACTTGATAACCCTAACCCTGGGTAGTGAGCAGATAGAAGTAGTCGAGAAGTTCGTGCATCTGGTTGGCTGTGTAAGTGCTGGTAGTGGCGTGAATGATGAGACCAGTTCGCATATAGTAAAAGCCAGAGCTACTTATGCCAATCTGGACCATCGTTGTCGCCTTTGTAATGTTAGTCTGGCCGTTAATGGTCGGATTCTCAACTTGTCAGTGAGAGCAGTTTTGATCTATGCTCGTGAAATCCGACCTCTCTGAGTTCTGAATGTTAGACGACTTTCTGTGTTTGATCACCATTGTCTCCGATAGATTGCTGACATTCAATAGCAACACCATGTTAATAATGCGAAGGTTCGGCACAGCGACAACGATTCAGTCAATGTCACTATCTTGAAACATCGACTTCGGTGGCTTGGACATGTTCTACGAATGTCATCCCAGAGAATTTCACGTCGTACATTATTTTCCGACTCGGACCATTTGGAAATAGCGGAGAGGTGGTCAGTGTTTGACATGGTGTCGTGGTATGAAGGAAAGCTGTATAGGACTGACTTCTGTTGGTCCTTCACGACTCCTTGGTCGGAGGTCTAGAGATGATGCGAGTCAAGGGCTAGAGACGTTATCAGACATGGCTCAGAATAGAAGCCAGTGGCGATCCTACTGTAACTCCCTCTTACTTCATTAAAATGAACATAACTTCTTTAACTGAAAGAATACTTTCTCGTTATATTTTTGCTGACTGAACTATTTTTCCCATTATTATTATTATTATTATTATTATTATTATTATTATTTCACTTACTGATTTCTGTTCGTTGTTCTTTATTATACTCACTTTATCTCTTCACAACCTCATTGTTATGGAGTTGCGCATAGGTGTTTGATACCCCCTTGTACCAATGTTGATGTGTTCAAATAAACAAATAAATAAAAATTACTAATCTAAAGATGTTCTCAGTGAAAGGAGAGGGGATCGACAACATTGAGCTAAGTAAATAAACCTGTCATTGAGCACTCAATTGTATTGATTATTAATTAAGTTTCGATGGAATATGAGATTGGTGGTTCTGCCAACGAACTATACTGTTTACCCATGGTTAGAACGTGCTTATAGCATTAGAATTGCTGGTAACTAAGCGAACAGTTCGTTAGCTTTCACCATACATCGATAGGCTTTTAGAATTTCATGTGGTGTGAATGGATGGTACATGTACATGACAACGTTCCTTGCAAAAGGAGTGTTATTTACATAGCATTGAGTGTATTTGCCTAAAAATTGTCTTAAAAGCATTTTGATATGGATATTACAACTGTCAGTACTGATATATATTGGCCAACTGTTTGAATATATTTTTATGTGTATTTTGTGCCCATGTACACCATGCGTTTTGTGTTTAAATTTTATGGTATTTGTGTCTGAATCTCTGAGTAAAGGCAATAAATAAGTCCCTAAGACCAGTGGTCATTTGTTAACTGTATTCGGTTGCGGCTACATAACTGTTGTCAACGTTTTAATCTGAGTAATATAACTGGGTACCTGTAACATTTTCACGCACTTATTCACTATTCTAGTTCTTGTTAAGTTTTTCTTTATATTCCATTCTTACATTTTACCTGTTTCTCTTACATTTGTTCAGTTTCCCAACTTTACTGGTACTTTTATCATCCTTTTAGCTTTCCTCTTGTTGATCTTCTCTCTTCGTATTTCCATAGTTCATAATAGATTGTACCGTTTGGTAATTTTGTTACATTGTACAATGTTTCAACCTATTTGCAATAAATAATTTTTGTATAGATTTAGTGATTTTTGGAATAAGTCGTACTGTGATGAGATTTTTGGTCAAAATCATACTTTAACCTGTATCTTCCCCGGACATACGACTTATCTGGTGGTCTCGTAAACTCTAGAGATGACATTTTGATAAAAGATTATCTAAACCCTGTAAGTCTTATTTAATTCTGTGGCTCTTTGTTACTGATACTAAATTTTTTTGAATAGTCTTCTAAGAAGGCTGTGTAAATCACCTAAACTAAATCTCTTTACATCTGGTCCTTTTTTGAGCATTCTAACAAAAAACATAGTTTAATTTTCTTTCAGAAATTTGAAATAAATCCAAATAGTTTTAGCATAAAATTCATGACGATTTTTGCGATGTCTTGTAAGAAAACTAGATCGTGTAAATGATATGTGGCATATGACCCATGTCACTAAGTAAGGAGTATGAATATATTACTAAGACATTGTTCCAAATAAGCTAGTAAGTTTTATTGATTAGTTCTTACATTTTCTAATCATTATTTCATGATCTTATGTAGCCTTAATTAGAAGATTCCTTCCAATTCATCGGTGATTAGGTTCTGCTTGATTGGTCAAGTCATCTGACTATCAATATGTAACCGGATTTTGTGACAGAACCACGTCAATTAAATTGCATGGGAAATACCAGTTAGCCATACCTCATATGTTAGTATTTGTGTCCATCAATTCACCCTGATATCCAGATACTTGTTTTAGCTTTCCTACTTTTGTGGATATACCTACTTCATCAAGATTTAAAGAGCTGCAAAAAAGTGACATTTGAAACAATTT